ACCAGGCCGCGCGTTTAAGTACCTCTGCCTTACGCGTCTGTTATCCTCGCTGCCTCCGTAGTGTTTACATAAGAGACGGTGGTGTTATGGGGTTGCGCAATCCCATAACGCCACAATTGGAGAGCCCCCCCCCCAAATCTCGCCTCTGACCTATTTTAGAATTTAGTAATTAGTTTCTAGCTGAGAGATAAGTTTCTGGAGGCGGTGCAGGGAGACCGTAAACAGACGAGAGCCATCCCAGCAGATCTTCCCACGCTCAGAGTCCGAAGAGTGACCATTTCCCTACGTCGGTGGGCGGCAAAACTGCGCTCCGGAGCGTAGATACGTCAGGGGCAACGCAGGGTTATCTTCCCTTTCCGGCCTTTTCGGGTGTTGTCAGCAGGCAGTGAGCTTAAACATGCAACTTTGCGCCTTTAGGTTCGTACTAGGGAGTTAGTGCACCCTCGAACGTTAAAGCTCTATCGATCTTCTGCGCGCGCGCAGTTCGATTTTCGCATCACTTTAGTGCACCTGCGCATGCGCACAAGATCGATAGTACTGTCCGCTGTGGCTTGCACAAATTCCCTACTAGGGAGTTTTTGCACGCCTTTGCGGGCAGCAATCGACTGCAATCTCGATCTTCTGCGCCTGCGCAAATGCACAAAAGTGATGCGAAACTTTAACTGCTCATGCACAGAAGAGCGATAGTTCTATTTATTGTTATAACATTCGAGGGTGCAAAATCTCCCTGCCGAGCATCATGTCTCGTCAAATTAAACATAGAGAGAGAGAGTAATGCCGAACTTCGCGTAGAGTCTAGTGTTAAGCGGTTCACCCAACCTTGTCTCCTCCAACTCTGGTTCTGTCATGACGAAATAGCGTAACACAGGAACAGAGAAATTAAAACGGATCTTTAAATTCATGGCATTAAAAGTAATTTGCAGCGCAGCCACTGGATCTAGTGGATTATTTTGAAAGGAATTCCTTTATATAAAGGTGTTTTTCTCTTGCAGGTCATGAACAACTGTTCCGTTTCCGTGATAAACAAGATCAACAAAATGCTCCATGGGCCCGAGACATTTTTTTAGACATTTCATTTCGAAGATCTTCAAATTTATAATGTAAAACATTCATATTTTCTGGATTTTGAGAAGAAATTAATCTCTCTACCAGGGTGTTCACTTTTTTTTCGTCCACGGCTCCCTTGACCTAAACGAAACTTCCCGCAGCTCTCCTGGTAACAAGTATAAGGGTTAACAGAGGCTTACTAAAGATTCATAAATTTTCCGTAATTCGACATTTTTCTTAATGAAAAACGTTCTTCAAAGATATCTTTGAATAAGTTCAAATACAATTTTTTGAAAATACGAATAGTTTTCCCGTATAGGCACCTAGCTTTGCGTGACTCCCGAGGCAGTATATTCACATTAAAAAGGTTTCTTTGTGCTTCGTAAGTCAATAATAAAATGAGTTTTTTACATATTACAGACTCGTCCATATCCAGCCCGGCTCGTCCATTTTGATCATAAAGTGCATGATAACGTACCAATTAAAATTCTGTAATTTTTTATTTCATTACTAAATTAGATTTAATTATCGCCAATTTTATTAATGAAGTAATAACGATTCATGTAAATACCAGAAAGCACAGTAATGCTTAACGTTTCTCGTAAGCTCGTAAAAGCATTGACAACAAAAGAACACCTGATTTTCTACAGTTCTACCAGACTATCCTAGAGTAAACCGGCTAAGAGTTGTGACAATCGATTTGTCTTGACTAGAGAAATCGAATGAACTAGTAATTGGTCACCTCTGTATGTGCCTTAAATCACGTGAAACGCGTTTTATTTGCTTAAAAATAGGAAAACACATGTTTGAGATAAAGGTCTTAGATCTTCCTGGATGGATCCAATTATAAATAATCTGTTTGTCCATCAGGAGACTGAGAGGCGTCGAATGACTTTTGTCTCGATTGGTGGAATCGCTAACTGTGAGTGACGGACGGATGTTAATGGATTTCAAAACAATATATATTTTTACTTTCTCCCTAATCCTACGGATAAATCCAGTTGCTAAATTTAGAAAAAATCCTCTATCACGTGGTGTAGCCAAAATCCATGTTTTGTGGATCTTTGATACGGAAAAATTGAATGACGACAAAGCGGCTGGCCGGCCGGCCGGCCGTGAACAACGCTAGCGGCTAAACCGATCTTCTGAGTAGGTTGCTGTTTTGAGAGCCCTGAGTGATTGACCTGAGGAATTGAAGTGTGAATTACTTATTTTGGCGAGGCTCAGATCATCACACCTGCTGTTCCGCCTGACCATGCAAATTCCGCTACGCTCCTTTCGCCATCTCGCAGAGAAAGCAACGAACCAGACATTTTGAATTTAGCTCAGAGGCTTCTTTTGGGCTTGAGGGTCTTTACGTGCCAAATCTACATCCCTTACATACCAAATCTACGACTTGGGACAGCCAGTTTTACTTTCCAACCTAATGGAGCCGTACGAAATACTTTTTTGCCCTTAAAAATCCACTGCTTCGAGTTTGAAACCGCAAACTTGTATATAACAGTCGGATATGCTACCTGTTATACCAGCGAAGCCGCAAGGACCATCACCTGACGCGTCAGGAGGTGGTGAGTGGTGAGTGTCAGCTTTGTCTGAGGAATGGAACCTACCTTTTTGAAGCCTCTACTGATGAACGAATCGATAAATTATCCCAAACCCAACATAGCGGGAAATGTAGGGATTTTTCGCCGCTTTAAAATGTTGATAACTCGATAGTGGAACAGCACATCCTAATGTTCCTCCATGGTGGAATGATATACTCGTACTTACTCCATGGATCACTCGATAGAAAACGAGAACGCAACGATTCTCTCCCCCTAGTTGAAATCGGTCGTTCAACCTGTAAAGCAAAGGTTCCTCGAGCGCGATCGTAAAAAGAAAACTAAGTAGTGCTTTGGGCCAATAGCGAAAAACATTGTAGCATCTAGGGGCAGGGCTCGGAAATCGGGATGATCCTTCGTTTACGGGACATATACGAACCGTATCCCGGTCTTATTTTTGGTTTGTTCCCGAAAAGCATCAATGTTTCGTAATTTTTTCAAAAGTGGAGAGTGGTTTTTATATCATTTTATGTAATTTTCGATTCTTCTATTATTATTTTCTAGTTTATTTAACCCACTTGTCCATTCTTTTTGTTTTTAACATAAAAACTTGTTTTATTTTTTAGGAATATTATCATTGTTATTCTTATGATATTATTATCATCACTATCACTATTAATACTATGCCCAACTAATGTATTAATGTTAATTTACAGATGATTGGAAATCCATATTTGGTGACCCTACAAAGTTTGGACTGGGGCTTTTTTCTGTGATATTTGATATATTTTTTATGATTCAACATTATGTTTTGTATAGGTAAGTTATCTTGAAAATTTTACTCATTCACTGATTTATTAATAAATGCACTGTAAATGATAAAATAGTTTTCTATAAGATAAGTGATTAAATTGTATCTCTAAGTAAACGTAACGTAACTATAACAAATATTATCTAATTTTTGATTAAATATTTATTTTCTTTTGTTTTGTAGAGGAGCAAGATCTAATGGAACTGCATCTGGCTCCGGTTCAAGTGATGCAATTGTAGAAGAAGCTGGAAATTCTTGATGAAAAACTGTGTGATAATAAAAAGTATTATTTTTATTGTAATATATTTAAATTTACCTTCTATTGTAATATATTTAAATACAAATGTTTATTGTGTAATTGCATGTGCATTATTTATGAAATACCTTACGAATCCTGCGTACATCTTGAAGGACTTGAAATTAATTAATTCTCAATTTCCTGGTATTTTCCATTAACGCGTGTCGATCGACATCGTGGTGGAGAATGCAGAAAAGGCGCCTGTCAATGCTCCTGTTTCTTTCTACATCATCCATTCTCTTCCTCTTCATATCATGTCGCTCTTATCGATTCTCTTCCTCACTGGCCTTATCTACTAGCTAGACGCCAAGTCATGTGTTTGCAGTGCATGGCGACCCGTGTCGGAGGGAATGGGTAATCTTGGGGTTGAGGAGTCTGTGTATACTTTCTTGTAGACTTGACACGAATCTCATTCGCAGATTGCGTTTTACACGTTGCGCGAACTCCGCCGGGCCTAGTGACCGAGGGAAATGTACGTCGTGCTCTGATTCTGTACTTTTGACACTGGCCTCTCCAAGACTTTCCTTCTCATCACTGGGCGAAGACCAAGTCTTGGGCTGAACTTCAGGCTTAGGAGAGAGATTATAATAGGGCTGCGCTATGGCAACCACCACAACTCGGTATTCGTGCATGTCCTCTCCATGACAACACTTCATTTTTACACGAGAAAGATGAGATTAAAAAGAACTGCGGAGTCTGCGTTCAGCTGACGTCAAGAGGAAAACGGCTATGACATATTGAATATGGCCTCAAAAACATAGCTTTTCGACAGGCAGCGTTTCAGCGACAGATTTTCAGCTTTTCGGCGTACAAATATACATTTACATTCCGTGTCAGGAAGCATATTATAAGAAGCTCAAGTTGTGTCGAAAATAACTTTCTTATAAATCGCGGAAGAACGTCCGTGTATCGGAAAGATAAAGAAAGAAATAAATGCGCCACAGCGTTCCGACTATCCTAATAGACGCGCAGACGTTCAAGAGCAATCCACCAGTCGCAAATTATTCTGAAAAGAAATCAATTGGTTCGAAGATTTAAAAACAAACTCAGTACAGTACCTTTCATGCCATAAAAAGTTATACGAATTACTAAAAACAGCACATTTCTGGTGGTGCAGTTCTGCGGTTACAATGACTTGCTTGCACTGATGTTTTCTGAAAAGAGTATGCGTAGCTGGTAGCATACTCGATGTCTCTCTTCTCGTGTGTCTCACCATCAAGTGCACATATACCTCATGCGGACTTTTAGAAAAATATTTTTGTAAAAAAGGTACAGGAAAGCCAATAAAACTCTGTATATAATGAATGGTGAATGGGAAGACAAAACTTATCAGTTTTCTTAATTTCCTTGGCAAGTTTTAGCAATTTGCCGTTTCAGGTCCGACAATGAAACGTAACTGTTAGAATAGCGTTCAGACGAACAAATCTTTGAAAAGAAAGTCTCTGTGCCCTGGCAATGGTGACCACCTATCCGTGTCTGATAGTGTGATTGCTAACGAAGATTTTTCAACTGAAACTAGGAAGAGCTTGAAAAATCCAAGTAATAAACATTGGAGGATCTGAATAACGCTTCAAAATTTATAGTTTCATTTCAGCTACAACCCAAAAAATGTTTAACCATATTTCGAGCTTCATCAATGGTAACACATTTTACTTCCGCCTTTTCCAGTTACATTTCTTTGACAGTATCGCACACAGTTTCAAATAAATCGTGTGATGCTGTTCTTTCCAAACTCTGAGGAGCTGCCAATTCTTCAGTTGTTACAAAGTCTTGATCAATTTCACTAGTTCATTATACGTTTGCAGGCGGTGTACTTAGGAACGATTGTTGTTTTGAAAGTGTGAGCCCGAACACACATCCGAGAATGCACGCATAATGCCGATGCCTCCTAGCACTTGACCAACGCTGACACCAGCCGAGACTGTTCGATAAAAAGTGCTCGTTTTGTTGTTGTCGTTACTGTGACCTCTGCAGAAAAATCAAATCCACTTCTGTATGCGCGAGTGCGTTCTGGCAGAGAATTAATTATTTATTTAATACGTAATTATTGCAGACAAATTAGCTTACTTGATCCTATGTGGCTAGGCCGAAGGCCTTTAAGCCATTACAATACCTACATCCTTTCGCGTTCTAATCTTTCGAATTCTGGTATTCACCCCAAATGGTCTCTCCATCGCATCAAAGCCGCGGAAAAGAGACCTTAAGGTACGGCTCAGGAAAAAAACCCTGAAGGGGAAAAACCTGCCGTCAGAAGCCGAGTACATTCTAATCTATCCGACGTTTATTTTAGCTATGTTATTTTCTGCGGCGCGGGCGTCCCGCCGTCTCCTTCCAGTGCTTGGCCTCCTCAGCACCTGAAATCAAACAGCGCCACAGAAGATCGTCCGCACCAACGCCTCTGCCCTTATATTTTCGATCGATGAATTAATTATGAATAATGAGAACTATTGCCGCAAGCAAAAGAAAAAAGGGGGATATTTATCACATTAGAAAGTCCTACGGACAGAGCTGCAGAACAACACACTTTGTCCTCGGCAATACATGCTATAGACACAGAAAATATTTTTATTTCTCCTTTGCACATATCTATTACATAATACGTATGTTCTTACCCGCTTTTACTCTGCTCTGCAGTTCTCCGCAATGAGCGGGTTTGTATCTCGCTCACCGCCGTATACATCATATCTAATCGATCAGTATTTACTGTAGACGTGCGAGTCTCATTCAGTCGGCGGTGACCTCAGATCGCAGTGCTCCGTCTGCAAAAATGTAAAGTGAACCTCTTATAAAGATGAGAAGCCGGTCCGGATGGCCGAGATCGTTACGGTAGTAGTGCCGTAGCGATATCGGACCGAAGGATCGCGAGTTCGTATTTGTATTGTATTGTATTTGTGTTCGTCCTTTCACCCCCCTATCATCACCATATCATGTCATCTTCACAGTTACCATACCGTTAAATGCAATAGTGATCGCTAACGACCTAGATGTTGATGGGACCTTAAATAAAAAATGAGAAACCGTGCAGTGTCTCAGACATTATTTCTCTCATCCATACAGAGCGATGTAAATCAAACATGCTCATTGCTTTACAGAACACTTGTTATCCCGTAATCAACTTAGCATATTCCAAATTTCTATCTTGCAGGTTGTTATTGTAGAGAAAGAGAACCGATTAAGGGACCTGCGTATGGTGGTTATTGCATTTACGTTAAAAATGATATAACATCTTAATGTAATTAAATGAGTAGTCAGTTGGAATCCTTTTGAAATATTGTACACCTTCCATTGCTCAAATCCGTTTACTTTACATGTACAAACAGCCCAACAAAGCGAGCTATATGTTATTTAACGTTTTTATAAAAAACAGGGATAACTCTAAACATCCTGCTATCGCTCATTTGAATCAATTTTTGTATCCCGAGATTTTCACATTATTTTCTGATGGAATCTCCCCAGAAAGATGTTTTGCGATTTAATGAATTCCTTCAGTTTATATATTACCTACACGTGCCACACGTAATTCAGAGAAGGCAATCAATCAAATAATGATTAATAAAAATATTACTACATATTAAATTGAAACGAAATACTTAAGATACAATGATCACTGTGCACAAATTATTTCTTTTATAAGAAACGGAAACATTGAAAAGATAAATCATACACCCGTAAATAGTTTGTTTTTGTTGTTGTTTTTTTTTTTGCTCGCGAATAGGCCGACTTGGACCACTCGTGCATGCACCCTGCATTTACCGGGGCTCAGAAACATTATCTCTGTGGTATATGGATGTTTCCAATATTGCTGATACAAACAGTAAATATAATTCATTTTTTATACGCTTTCATTTCACTTTAATATATGATTTTGTCTTACAAAAATAAAATTAAAATGTTCACAATTAAGCAACACTTGGATAACAGGAGAAATTAGAATGCCATATAAACGAAACAAATTCTTTATTTCTAAGCATCATATCGTATCTCATTATTTCCACCCCAACACCCAGAAACAAATCATTGTTAAAAAAATCATAAGTCCGGCTAATTCGCAATGATGAAGATATTTTAAACTCAAATAATAAAACAAAAGGAATGTGGAGTATAGTAAAAATACGACCTCATCAACTAGAAATATTTTAGAGCATGTTGTTTTAAAAGACAACGATATGGAAGTGAACCATCCGGCAACGGTGGCTGGTCTCTTCAACCAATATTTTTCAAGAATTGCTGCTGACCTCACTGCGGGTCTTCGGCCGCAAAATTCAACATCAGACGTTTCCATAAACATTTTCTACTCGATGTTCGTTTCTGAAACTTATTCCTATGAAGCTCTTAAAGAACCGGTAAAATAAAAAACAAAAATTCGACAGGTTTAGATGAATTTCCTACATCTTTGTTAAAGTCATGTGCACCTGCCATTATACATACATTAACTCACATATATAATATATCCTCAGGAAATTTCCAGATATTTTCAAAACAGCTAAGATTAAACCGTTCTTCAAAGAAGGCAATAAAAATTAAATTCAAAGACAAATTTCTCTTGTCAGGTTTTTTTTCTTCATAATATTACAGAGACTTTTTTACTTACAAATCTTTTTCAGTAAACACGAGGAGTTTTCAAATTGCCAACATGGTCTTAAAACTTCAAATTATACGTAAACTGTCATATTTTCTTTTCCTAAAAATGTCGCTTTATCCATGGATCAAAACAAAGCCCTTATTGGCATATTGTTAGGTCCTTCGAAATCTTTTATAGTCATTTAATATTTCACTTTCAAAATTGCCTTTGTATGGAATTCGTGGTATTGCTCTAGATGGGTTATGTGCATACCTTAAAAAACGATCTCGGAGAGTAGAAATACCGTACTGGAATAATGGGATATCATATACTCACCTTTCCGATTCATTGCCAATTACACATGGGGTCCCATAGGGTTAGATTTTAAGCCCTATTCTCTTCGTACTAGACGTAAACAATATGCTCTCAGCGGCTGAAAACGGAAGGACAGTTCTCTTTGCGGATGATACGAATATTTTTTCCAATAAAGAAATAGTAAA